CTCTTCTTTTGACAGTTCCTGAGTCCTTTAGTTCCATAGCCATGAGTAAAGTACTTTGTTGAGTTATGTGAGTCATACTAGAGTATTATTGAGCCTGAGGATTATGAGAAAACCTGAATTACAGTTCATCAGGCAAAGGTATAGGCAGCTTGAGGATTCCATTTGGAGTTTGCATCTCATTGTAGGCATTCTTATGGAACTGAACCCTTGTCCAATGGTATCCGTGCTAATTCTGCATAGTGTCAACATTGAATTGAATTCAATATTGAATGCTCTAATATTGAAGGCATTAGAGAACTGGTGTGGAAAAGATGTTTGTTGTTGGAAAGTATCACATGGTAGGTGAGAGGGAGAGAACAGCATCCCAGCAGAGAAGTATCAGGTAGAAAAATCCTGATTTGGAAAGGGACCTGACTTGTCCCAAGCTGTGAAAGAATGTGTGTCTTAACAGCGTTGTAAGCAGACAGTAAGTACCATCAGGTTAAAATTGAAGGATCAAATGACTGAGATTGATTGGGAAGCTGGTACAAAACTTCACACACACAAACACACACACACACAACAGAGAAGCTTGGAGCGCAGGCATGGTGAAAGTGGAGGTGAACATCCAAGGTGACATCGAAACCCTCCTTGTAGCTTTATGTGGTATTTAAAGTATCTTGTTTCTGAGACAGCAAATGCAAAGCTTTAACGGTGAAAAATGTGACTGATTTTCAACCGCCAAGTAGCAGATATTGAGAGGTTGGAAACCATTTTCTTAGAGTCTGACCAAGTTTGTGTGACTTTAGCCAAGTTATTCAGTCTGCTGAACATTGAGAATGAGAACGTTCTGGGGCTGGAGAGATAGTCCAGCATGTAGAGCTCTTGCCTTGCCTGTGGCTAACCCAGGTTCCATCCCCCGTATCCCATACAGTCCCTGAGCACCGCCAGGAGTGATTTCTGAGTGCAGAGCTAGGAGTGACCCCTGAGCATTGGCAGGTGTAGCCCCAAAACCAAAAAAGAAAATGCGAACAAATCTTTTCTCATCCTATTTCATAGGGTTTGATGATTAAGTTAGGTAATATATATCCGAGTACTTTGTAAATTTGTGGTAGAATGTCTCTCCTCAGCCACATTTCTATCGTTAAAACCAAAACCAAAATAAAACTAGTCAGGTAACACCTTTTTTTTTGTTTTTTCGAGAATTTTCATCTGCCCTACTTATAATTGGGTCTTCTAAAGAACTATTTTGGAAAGCAATTTCTATTTTAGGTGAAAAATTTCTTCAGGGTTTCTGAAAAATATATTTCAGGAAGAGCCAGTTCACAGAGGTGACCCTGATTGAATGCTCTGTGTGTGTGTGTGTGTGTGTGTGTGTGTGTGTGTGTGTGTGTGTATACACTACTTTATTTCTCAGTCTTAAGAGAGAAATGTGACATTTGACAGTAGTGATTCATGCTTTGTTTTGAGCAGGTGGAAAGGGAAGAGAGAGATGGGAGAATAACCTGAGCAGCTCTGATTATTGCTTCTAGCCTATAACCTCTAACATGAAAGAAAACAGTCCAGTTGATACCCGGAACCCTTAAGAGCCACACCTTAGGGAATCTGTGCAAAAATGCCTTCACAACCAGCAGGGTCCATTGACTCTTCAATAGCTGCTCCCCAGAAAAGCAGCACCTGGTTTTCCTTTAAATGCTAATGTAACTGCCGGAGAACAGGTTTTTTTTTTTTTTGGCAAGTACTTTGTTTTATTTATGTTATATTCCCTAGTATCTAGAAGTGTGTCTGGTACTTACAGTGTTTCCTTAATAAGATTTGTGGAATAAAGGAGTGAATAGAGATGCTTTTGTAATGCATCTAGTGTTTACTGACTCTTTCTTCAGTCACATTTAATACACTCAGTCATGATTCTGTGCAATAGCAGTTCTCTCAGATACATCACGTTCAGCATCAAGTTGCTGTTCCTTGATATATATGAGATGGCCTCATCCCATCTGCACCACCACTCTCAGTAAGCTGTCGACTCGCTTGGATTATTGTAGCTTTAAAATTGATATCTCCAGGGTTGGAGAGATTACTCGTTCATTGGCTGGAAGATCAAATACTCAGTGGGCCAGGGTTTGACACCTGATCGCTCATGCTTCCCTGAGCATAACCATGAGTGAATGCCATGCATTCATCCAACTGGGAGTAGCCCCTGAGCACCACCAGATGTAACCCCAAACCCAAAAACAAAATTGATATCACATACCACCTTCAAATTTTATAGCTTCCAGCCACTCTTCCAATTGCTGTCATGGTGTCGTATTATATGTTCATTGCTCCCATCAGTGAGTCCTCACACAGTGACATCCATGATCAGCTGGGGTATCAGATTATTTGTGTTCTCTGTCATGAACAAGAGTCTGGAGTGAGGTAATTTACAAATATAAACACCATTAACTTTATTTTTTAAATGATTTATAAAGTCATGAGACAGAATACTTAAGAATATCCGTTTTCTATAATGTCCACCTTACATAGCTAGTCTAAATTAGGCCTTGTCAGGACAGAATCTAAGAATGTTTTGATTGTGATAATACCCTTTTTACACAGTGACTGTACATTTATATTGTAGATAATAGTGTTTTTGTTTTTTAATTAAGGTGTTAGAATCACCAGCTTTTCATAATATTAGCTTTATTATGGTTTTATATTTCTAAAAAAAAGAATCAGAAAGTAAGGTCAAGATAAGAATGTCTTTTCTCCCATTATCCCCGCACTTTCAATGATTGAAATTGTATTTCTAAAGGAGTGATTGTTAGCTCAAATCCATTTTTCATTGTCAAGAATACAATATATTCAGGGGTCTATTGTAACACAGGTATTAATAGTATGATCATCTGTTGGGCCAGAAAATAGCAAAACCTGAAAATTGTTGATTATAACGTAGTAACACAAATCCAAATATCTTTTTATCTGTTTAAAAGTTGAATTGCATCATTGAGAATTAGTCTTTTCCTTCTAACAAATGGAATATGTAGAGTGCAATATTATCAGGCATTTAGACTCTCATTTTTATAATTTATTCTTTTATTATAAAACATTATTGGGGATTACTTTATAACATGCTGTCAGGACATGGTAAATAATATTTGGTGTTAAAATACAGTTCAGTGAAGCATTCCTCTTTTTTTTTCCTTTTTTGGAGGGGTGGATAGGAGGAGATGTCCACACCTAGCAGTGCTCAGGGCTTACTCCAGGTTCTGTGCTTGTGCTCAGAGATCACTTTCTCTCTCTTGTCCTGTTAATTTCTAATACACTAAATGTGAGTGAATATAATCCACAGTAGCAAAAGTTCCTTGGAGCCCTGCATACTCTTCATGTATAGTGATGCCCCGAGACCTAGAAATTTTGAGGATTCTTTAGAGTCTTCTCTGTCTCCAACTTTGAACAGGAAATTCCTTTAAGCACATCATACTAGCAAATCAGAGCTAGGAGATTAATGTTCTTGTGTATATAATGTTGATGGCTTGATTATTTTCAAATAGACCATGCCATACTGTCAGATGTGTTGCTTGTTGCTTTGGATAACATTTTTATATTTAATTTTTGTGGTCTTTTTTTCCTTTTTTCCTTTTTTGGCGACATCCAATGATGCTCAGGTTTTATTCCTGGCTCTGCACTCAGAAATTATTCCTGGCGGTGCTCAGGGGACCATATGAGATGACACAGATTCACCCAGTGTCGCTCGCTTGCATGCAAGGCCTTCCCACTGTTTTGTTCTGGCCCCTGGTTGGCAACCTTTTAAGTCCCTGCTTCCGCTAGTTGTTTCCAGATTTTTAACAGGAAGCTTGACCAGGAATGCAATGAGTCTTGTGTGGTGACTAATCCTTATTTTCTTCTTCCTCCTTTCATTATGGTCAGAATGAAGTAGCTGAGAAGTGTTTCTGAGGACTTTTGTGATAAAGCTTCATAGTGGCTTGCTCTGCTCTTCTGAATTATTCAGTTTCTGGGAAAGAACACTAAATATTTGAAATCAAAGAATCACTATTATTCCACATGCTGTGGATAAAATCCTTTATAATATAAAATTAAAATGATTTATAAGTATAAATTACTTATAATATAAAACTCTTCTCCCTGTAATAAAGAATTAAAAGGTGGTAATAGAGAAACTCATCTAGGATTATTTTTTAAATTCTACTTATTGTCTGTTAAATGCATGTGGTAACACTTAGATTTCTTATCTGCTTGGTGATAAAACCAATCTGTCAGAAATAAGTTTGTTAATAAGGAAAGTTTGTTATATTAATGTATAATACTTTTTTAGCTTTTCAACATAGCATTGATTTGCTCTTTGGCAAAAACAAACTCCCATAATATAAAATCAGAAAAATCTGCTTACTAATCTGTACAGCATAAAACTGTTTTTATAAAACCTATCCTTGTTACCATTTACAGCATAAAACTGTTTTTATAAAACCTATCCTTGTTACCATTTTCTGTAGTTTTGTAAAATGTACCTTCTTACACTTGTTCTGAGTAACTCTCTACTTATATTTGAATTTAGAAGTTCTTTCAGTATTAATTTACTGGTGTGTAGGTCTGATATTTTAAGATTTTAATTAGTATGGTCATAAACTGATCAGACAAATATTTCTGTATTTCCTTGTGGTTTTTTTATACTTTCACCTAATGTTTTTGGTAGTTTTGAAACTTAGATGTATGTGGGAAAAACACTAAGCCACACTACACTTTATCTCTTTGATAGCTGAATTTCACAGACATAATAAAGCCGACCATTTTCTCTTACACTGCGTTTAAAGCTCTCAAAAATTATTTGCTTTCTGAAATTTTTATTTTTGAAATAAATCTTTTTCTTTTTGCAAATGATTATGGTTCTGGAAGTTATATAGAGGTTTCATCGAAATTGAAACCTAAATGAGATTCTCATTTAGAGGGTTTAATTCATGTCTAGAAATCTGACTTACTTGTTTATTAGGTGCTCTAATGAGTTTTCCTTGTATTTATTTTCTTAGGCCAAAGATGAAGAGGAAGCCTTTCTAGATTGGAGTGATGATGATAATGATGCATTTGATCCAAGCACACTTCCAGATCCAGATAAGTACAGAGACTCTGAAGAATCTGATAGTGAAGATGTGGAGAATAAAATCAAGTACGTTTTTTTTCTTTTTTTATCATTAGCATCATTTACTATATGGATCTTCTTCGAACAAATTGAAAGAATGTGTAGAGACAAATATATCATCTCATGCACTTATCATTTTGAAGCCTTTGCTTCCATAGTCCTTGTTAACAAATATGAGGGCAATATGAAAGTTCTGTTTCCTTTTTTTTTTTTTTGGCTTTTTTGGTTATCTTTTTCTAATTTCTAATGCTTAAATATTTGCTTCACTACGGTAGTACAGAGGTACTGTTTTGTTCTGATTCACTGACAATAGGATTCTATTGAAAGTCTTAAAAGTTCTCTGAATTTTAGGAAATGGTAATTTATACCCTTACCAACTTTGATATGCAGTTAATAAATACATAAATAGAAAACTTATATAACCTGACTTGAATCTTTTTCTCATTTTAAAATCTTCCACTTGTAATGTAGATTTATTTAATATTATGGTAAAGAACAGGTAAAATATGATGAATTAAATACAAGTATGACTTGTTCAACATTTGTTTTCAGAATACTACATATTAGATCGCATTAGAATCTATTGGCTTAAAAATTCAGAACAGTTAGGGATCCACGAAGATAATAAAGGGATTAAGGTGCTTGCCTTCCATGCAGCTGACTGCTGATGAATCTCTGGCACCACATGGTCCCCTGAGCATCACTAGACATGGCTCTGGAGGCCTACATACCACATCTTGGGACCCTCACATTGAAGTCCTTGCCCAGTTGGTTGAGTATCACTGGGAAGGGCCCTAGGTCTCCTGAGCACAAGTGGGGTATCCTCACTTCTCCCCCAGTAGTTCAAGACATTGGCTTTCACGGACATTGTATATAGGTGAGTATATTAGGGCAGAGGGACATACAAATGATTGTTGGAATTAATTTGATTGAAGGAAAGAGGAGTTTTAATGGCATCCCTCAATTGGTAGCCTAGAGAGTTTGTAGTTGGATAAATATGCCACAGAGAGTTATAATTTTGGTATTAAGTAAGAACGACATTATGAAAAGGTCTGAAAAAGATTATCTCCTTAGGAGAAAAGACTGCAGGGGGAGGTCATTTCAGAATTACTTTTCATTTTAGTCTGTGCTCATTTAAACATGAAATTATTTTGTAGTAGCCAAAATCATTTATCCAAAATACAATTTTCCTAGTGAACCTGGAAGCGTTTGGACAATGAGACAGTGTTCTTAATAATGGTTTTTTAAACATTTACAGCCTGGTTAGTTAGCCTAACTCCCAACGAAGGATAAGAAGCACCACGGGTGGAATAATTTGATTGGGATTAGGAAACTATACAGATGTTTGTGATCAGGGTTCAAGTACTTAGGTTTAAGCATTTGCCTAATCTTTATAAATTGACCTCTGAGACTAAATATGCTTTGGAAAATGCCTCAGTGCATCATTTTAGGTTTTACTGAGCTATCAGTTTAGTTAAAAGTTTGCTGCTACTTCAATTTTCACATAAATAAATGCCCCTCTTTCCAAGTGGTTTTATCAGATTTTCATTTTGATAAATGTGCTGCAATTTAACATGTAGGGCTTCATATCAGTAGCTTCCAAATGTTTCTGTAATTTTACTCTCTGGCAGGGACATTAATTGGTTTTTAGTTTATTTGCTGCCATCTTTTGCATCTCTGTGTAACATTATCTTTAAAACAAAGAGCCTAACCTTTGAAGTCATTTGCAAGATGTTAGCAGTCCTTCTGTATCTGATCCATAAGAATTTTCCCCAAACATTTTTGCTGATTCTGGCTCATCATTAATCAATGTACAGCAGGCAGTTCATTTCATCTTCTGGTACTTCTTTTGTTCGTAGTGACATTTCCCTGCTACCAGCTAGTTAATATGACTTGTTCATTAATAGTTTCATATGTCCCGTGTTACAAAATCTATAATTGCTTTGCGGACTTTGGAAACTGTCCTTTTGTGCCAATACTTTTAGCCTGAGCCACTACTCTTGTCATAGGCACATTGAGAATATCTTGAAATATTCAAATTGATTTACTGATGGAGGTTTGTAGAGTGAAAAGGACGACCTATAATTATAAACAAATAAAATAGTTCCAGTCCCAGCAACTTAAATGCTACAGTAGAAACTGGAATAGATAGATAGAATAGGAAGAAGCCAAGTTCAGATATTGTAGTAGTGGTGGACAGAATGTTGAGGGGAGCACTTTGAGATGCCAAAGCACTGAAAGACAAGAGTTAAGATAGAAATATTTAAGCATTACATGAAAATTTCAATGTTTTCCATTCCAGATAAGGCTAATTACAGAATTAGCAGAGATCAAAAGGAATTAGTGAACTTGTTTTAAAACTGAAAAAAAATTGTCGTTTGCTGAAGAGAATATCAGCCAGAGCTTTATTCCTTTAGTACAGTGAAGCGCTTTATAATGGTTTCATCTTGTGTCTAAAAGCAGTGATGATCTGCTTCAGCCCTCTTTATTAGAGATGAAGCCAGGGCTTCAAGGGATAAAATAATTTAGGTCTGTGATCATAATACAAAATAGGGATGGATCAGTTTGATTAGCCTAAATCAAACATCATACTTCAAACACTCCAATCAAATAATAAAGACATTCACTTTGGTGCCAGAAGATGTAGTACAGGGGTTAAGTTATCCACAGCCTCTAATACTAGCACCTTTCAGCAAGGACTCCAGAAATATCTTTAGACATTGCTTCGGATAGCATTGCTTCTGAGATATCTTCAGATATCCCTTGTAAAGCAAAATCTGCAGTTGAGAACCACCAGACTAGACCCAGGATGTACATATTGCAGGCGCTTAATTAACCCAGTTTCTCTCTAAGATGGGCTTTATGTGTATTCCTTTCCACTCAGCCCAGGCAGTTTGTTTCTATTTAAATCCAGCAGCTCAGGACAACTGTCAGTTATTTGGCACTGCATGCTTTGGTATGTATGGACGAGGCATGGGATTAGACCATGCACCACAGAAAGTTAATAAGCAAGTGACTTTAAAACTAAGGCAGGAATTTTACGGTAGGTTGTTCTGTCGTAGTCTACCTGTGAAGTTTCTTTTTGTACCCTACGTTTCATTTCTCTGCCTTTCTCTTCACTTAAAATTATTTTAATGGCAATTAATTAAAGATATATGTAAACTATAATCAAAATTGTTTTGAAGAAGAAAAAGCATTCAAGGGCCAGAGTGATTGTACAGCAGGTAGGGTGCTTGCCTTGTATGCCGCCAACCCAGGTTCAACCCCCGACAGTACCCCATATGGTCCCTAAGCCCTGCCAAGCGTGATGCCTGAGCACTGAGCCAGGAGTAAACCCTGATAACAGCCAGGTTTGACCCCAGAACCAAAAAATAAAAGAATGAAACAATAGAAAAAACATTCATATATAAATTGATATACATTAGTTTTTTTAAATTGAATCACCATGGCATACATAGTTACATAGCTGTTCATAATTGGATTTCAGTCAGACAATGTTCCAATACCCATCCCTTCACTAGTGTACATTTCTCACCCCCAGTGCCCCCAGTTTCTCTCCTTCCACCCTCTCCTTTCTCTATGGCATGCAACCTCCCCCCACTCTCTCTGTATCTCCCCATCTCTCCTCTCTCCTCTCTCCTCTCTCCTACTTTCAGCATGCAGGGTTTTTTGTTGTTGTTTTTGTTGTTGTTTGCTTTTTGGGTCACACCTGGCAATGTACAGGGGTGACTTCTGGCTTATGCGCCCAGGAATTACTCCTGGAGGTGCTGGGGGAACCATATAGGATGCTAAGAATTGAACCTGGGTTGGCCACGTGCAAGGCAAATGCTCTACCCGTTGTGCTCCAGCACCCAGTGTGCAGTTCTTACCCAGTGATCATTTCCAACTATCTTGTCATAGTGGAAATGATCCTTTGTCTATGCCCGTGGTAGTGCTGCTGCTGCCACCTCTCAGTTAGTATTACCTGTATTGTTTTCTTACTCATTCCAATTTTTGACTTTGTCTTACATAAATGTGCCTAGATAGTAATGTCCAAGTTGTCATTTATAGAGAGTTCTCCCACACGTTCACAAGTTTTCTGTGCTGCCCTGCTTTTTGCATCTGCTTAAGAATTGTCGGAAGAGCTCATACTCCAGCCTCTTGGTTCTCTCGGGTCGTGGTCCAGGAATGTACTTGCATTTTCAGATAGGAGCTTACTGTTATGGAACTAGATACATCAGTTAGAAAATGGATCTTAATCTCAGTAGCATGGGAAAATTCTTTGAACATTTCTTCTAGGTATTTCTTTTTCCTTCACATTGGAAACACCCACAGATTCTCAGCCTGATTAACACTCTCATGTCTCTCCATGGAAAAGTTATCTTAGTCAGTGGGAATTGAGCAAAAGGCAGTTAGATTTAGTGCAGAAAGACCTAGGTTGGGGTCAGTCATTCCTCCTCACAGAGCTTTGATAGGGTTTTAAAGGATTTAAAAATAAAATACACAAGTCAGAAAAATTTAGAATATTCAAACTTACCCCTAAAAGAAAACCCATACCCATTAGCAGTCATCCCTCATCTTCCCCCTTCCTGAATTCCCTCCAATCACTAATCTACATTCTGTCTCTATGGATTTTATAGACACTTATTAAAATATCCTATTCTGGACAGATATTGTGACACCAAATGTCCTATTCTGGACATTTTAATAAAATATAACATACATAAACCAAAAAAGTGTGTACCTCTGCCCACCTCAGCTCAGTGGGCAGTGGCAGTCAAATTTAAACTATTCCCCAGTCCTCTATGGGATGTTCAGAATTGTCATCTCTAACGCTGACATTCTGAAGAGATTATGGAGTACAAGATCCAACTCCTTTAAGTTAGCATGACAGAAAGCTTCTTGCTTAGAAGCTGGTCCCAGGGGCAGTGAACAACGTGACCTTGAGTTCCTTTCAAGGAACTCTAAAGAATGCTGCTGCTGCGGCTGCCTCTACTGATCTTTGAGAACATGTGTAGAAGGGAGTTCTTGCTTGATGTTCATGAGTT